AGGAAATATTTGTTGATTTTAAGATAATTTTTCTCTCAGTGTAGCAACGATGAGTAAACAGCTGATTTCGAGGCAGAGTAACGTATACGTGTCGCTTGTTAAGTTGGCCACGTACACTTTTCGTAACAGTAACCGTAAGACGTAACGTAAGAATTGACCAATTACGATCGAGTATTCACAAAAATGGCGATCTTAGAATTCGACAATTCTCAACATGATTGGTCAATTTTTACGTTACGTTTTAAGCCAGTATTACACTAGCGATTGATGATTGACGATTGAAGATTGGAACTTGACCAATTGGAACAAAGCAAGCCAAGGTTGAAGCTCGTTGATTCGTCAAAATCTAATCTTCAATCGTCAATCATCAATCGCCAATCGCTAGTGTGATACGGGCTTTATGGTTACTGTTACGGAAAATGTGTGTGGCCAGCTTTACTCCGCTTCGAAATCAGCTGTTTACTCATCGTTGCTAAGAGGTAAGCCATTTCTTTTACACACAGAGTCTGTCCTACTGTCTGCCCGCTTCTCGTGAGCTCATTCGTTTATACATTTTAATTAATTACGGGATAAATATTGAGAAAATTTCAAAATGGTATATAACTTTTATGATATTATTTTGACCCGTTCTACCCGTACACGGCGGTTGCTCGGTCAGTTACCGGACACCCTGTATATATTATAATTATTACATTAATTATATATTTATTACAATTGTAATTACACATTTTTTTATAATTATAGTTATATCTAATTAAAAGCAACTATAGTTCTAGTGAAATTCTTTTCTCTCAATATACGTATTAGGTCGCTCGATAAGTTTTTAGGGATTCATATAAGAAACTTTTAAAGCCGATATTTTATTGAATAAAATTAGATACAACTTCTTTCAGTAATGTAAGGTACATGTACCAATCTCCGGACATTGTTATTATTTTTATATTTGAATATGAATATTTCAACTTTCAACATACAATACATACATATTCGTATACATACATTTAATATTTATATTTAGTGTACGTTGAAAGATGAAATATTTAGAGAAATATTCAAAATAATAAGAGTGTCCGGAATTAGGTACATGTCCGGGCATTGGGACATTTACCTTATTGACCGTTTTTACTTCAATGAAGCAAAAGCTCATCGAAAAACATAAGGTAAAAAATGTAAAGCTGCGTCTAACTATAAAAGTACCGTGGTTTTGCGTTTCTTGTAAAAACATCTCCACGAGAAAGCTTGTCGAACAAACCAATACACGCACCATCGTCTCTTGTCGTGTCACGGTTTCCTCTTTCTCCAAATTTAATTGACGCGCATTACGATCGAGGAAGACATTTTCTCACGTGTATGCACGAGAATTGGAGTTTCACGAGAGGGAAGTCGTCGACATATCGCGTGAAGCTCTCGTAACCGCACGGGAGAGTCTCGTATCGGGGCGCACGACTTCGTCGCGCTTTCTCGCACTCGTCGAAAAAAAAACCGATTCGCCCATTCCTCTTGCTTCCATGCCAGCTGAAGACACGTCGAGGTAGCACCCGGGGATCAAAGCCAAACGGATTTCCCCGGCAAGCCGGATAGAAAATACGGCTGACAGGCGAAAATTCAGTGGAGACTCCGTTACGTCCGCGCGCTCTCTCGTTGTACGTCCTCGCTTGAAAAAGCAATTCGCCGGGCGAAATCGCTTTTCGATGGATATTAGCTGTACACAGACGGCAAAGTCTCGCCCCACTTTTATCTCTTATCTAATAAAGCTGGACGAGAACAATCTATTGTTACTGGGTCAGTCAAAAAGTTCGGCTCGACCTTTGAGTCGGACTTCACTTTATTGTAAAATTGTTTATTCAATGAGAGCAAATAATTCATTAACCCGGCAATCGTCCTTGTTGTCTGCGACCCTTGCTAACGTTTGAGCAGTATATTTCTGTCGTATATGGAGGAAAGAGATTGGTCGAATCAACGTGACAATGATACAGCGTTTTGGTTGAAAGGAGCGGAATTTCTAGTTCTTATAAACGAAATTCTGTTCTTGATAAACATTTATTTGCGTCATTGTCATGTCCAATCGACCGATATTTTTTTCTCTATGCAGAATATGGCCGAGTCTGTCCATTAAGTGAAGAAGATGGAAAACTGAACTGTTTGATGTTTTTCGACAGATTCGGTACACATGTCCCGGTACTAAGTGATTAGATTTTGACTTTGCTGCAAATTCAAGCGAGCAGCTTCTTCCTCACGGAAATAAGCAGAGTCGCACTGCGTCGTTTCCAGTTGAAGCTCACGCGAATCGCGCGCCTCGATATTCGACGATGGCAGGTTCGCGGATCTCCTCGGGTGCGCGGGAGAGATCGGGTCTCTCCTCCGGTTCTCGCTGATGGGATTAGGCATCCTTGGGCGGGTTGGGTCGAATTCTCAAAAAGGGAGAATACTGGCGCGAAGTCTTGCGGAAGTGGGTCGTGACCCAGCTAACGTGACCCGCCTGCACCAATTTCGCCATCCTCCCGCAGCACACCTCGCTGTATCCACGCAGCCTTGATAAATTCAGTTAGACGGCTCGCCTCTTTACGCGCGCGGACTCGCGTCGAAGTTGCCGACATGATATTAGGTGTACAACTTTGCTTCCGCCGTTTTTTTTCGAAAATCCGAGGTTTTATTGTAAAAAACTGGTTATACATTTATGATTCAAAGTATTGTTCATCGCTGGCCACTACTTTCTCCCATCTTTCTCCGAGCAGCATACGAATCCCGCGTCGAAAAAACTGGTCATCTTTTGAGGCGATCCACGAATCGATCCAATTTTTTACTTCTTCATAAGACCGGGAGTGCTGGTCAGCCAGGCCGTGTGCCATTGATCGAAACAAGTGATAGTCAGAGGGAGCAACGTCTGGAGAATACGGCGGGTGGGGTAGGACTTCCTATTTCAACGTTTCCAAGTATGTCTTGACCACTTTTGCATCATGGGGTCGAGCATTGTCATGCTGCAAAATCACTTTATCGTGTCTCTCGTTGTATTGCGGCCGTTTGTCTTTCAATGCTCGGCTCAAACGCATCAATTGCGTTCGATTCCGATCGCCTGTGATTGTTTCAGTCGGTTTTAACAGCTTATAATACGCTACGCCGAGCTGGTCCCACCAAATACAGAGTATGACCTTGGAGCCGTGAATATTCGGTTTGGCCGTCGACGTGGAAGCATGGCCGGGAACTCCCCATGATTTTCTGCGCTTGGGGTTATCGTAATGAACCCATTTTTCGTCCCCAGTCACAATGCGATGCAGAAATCCCTTCCGTCTTTGCCTTTCAAGCAGCTGTTTACAAGCAAACAAACGCTGTTCAACATCTCTCGGCTTCAATTCGTACGGCACCCAATTTCCTTGCTTCTGAATCATTCCTATGGCTTTGAGGCGTTTTGAAATAGCTTGTTGAGTTACTCCCAATGATCGTGCCAATTCTTCTTGATTTTAACACGAGTCTTGATCAAGTAATGCCTCCAATCCTGCATCTTCGAAAACCTTCTCTTTTTCACCTTTATGCCGGTCTTCGACGTCAAAATCACCGTTCTTGAAGCGTTGAAACCA